AAAGTAATTGCCAAAATGAGATAGGTTGCAATAATAAGATGTATGTAAATAATGCAATAACCAAAACCATGTTTCTTACACATATACTTATCAAATTCACATTCATAAGTTCGCCTTAGTAAGTTCATTAGCCCATGGTACCATACAGAGAACCTAAGGTATGTGAGTATTGTGAGGTTGTGCACTATGATGTCACCACAGTTCATATAATTGCACCTAAGTGCCACGTAGAATTGCACCGGAGTGCCGCGTAGAATTGCACCGTAGTGTCATATAATAATGTCCATAAGGACCACATATCATCCTTAAGAATCATATACATATGCCAAGGATCAAGTATGTGTCTCACCAGACCTCACACATGTTCCAAAGAATACATATATGCCCCGAATGACCACATATCATTCCTTAAGAATCATATACATATACCAAGGATCAAGTATGTGTCTCACCAGACCTCACACATGTTCCAAAGAATACATATATATCCCGAAGGACCACATAGACCCTCTACCATTGGCATGCCAACTATACCTATAGTTCTCATTTACATAACCTGGGCTTTCACAATTTATCTAATTTATATAACGTAGACATATTATTTCCATACCTTTATCATATAACTCATATAACTTTTTCTTTCATATTCATGTCCCATAATGCATATGGTATGGATTCATGTCATATATCATTATATGAACTACGATCATGTATCAAAATATTGAATCCAGACTTATCACAAGTCTAGAACTGAATAAAATACATATTCATGCTATGCATATGCACTCACCTAGATTTATTTGTCTTTCCCTCGATTGATCCTACTTGTCGATGATTCCGGAACTCGATTAGGCTCAATATCTACATAAGCAAAATTTTCAAGATGATTATAAGATGCCTAAGTCTTGAAATTAACCTCTAATAGCCTACCAATTTAAGGGATTGATAGTTTAGTCTCTCTTCTTTCTTTTCTTTTCTTTTTCATTATGGGGGAATCGGTTCCCCCCTGGGGGTATCGATTCCCCTCTAGCATTCTAGAAATTCATATTCATTTGAGGGGGGATCGATTCCCCTTGAATGGGTACCGATTCCCCTAGCCCATAAATCTCATTTTGAGCTCGAAAATCACCTTATTTCAGCTCAAACCTTCCTATTTCACTCCCTTTAATATTCTTAACTTTAATACACATACTTAAACTTATTTCTACTCCATAATCACTTCTTTAACTTCAAATCTAGTCATTCCTATGTAATTGCAAAAAGTATACTAGTTTTGCAACATGTTCAAATTCCTATTCTAACACTTCTTATCCCTTAATTAACTTGATGACAAGTCAAATCTCACTTCCAATTCTTATTATGAACTCTAATCTAATATTTCACTTTTCTACTTCATTTCTTTAATTCTTCATATACTTTTCATCTTGAGGTTTTAAAACAATTTAAACTTCCTTTAAGCTTAACTATTGCCTAATGATCATGAATCAACCATAAATTCCTCAAGAAATTCACTAACAAGAGAATCTTACCTTAGCTTGGGTCTCACGTATGAAGAAGAAGAAAGAAGAAGAGGACTCTGGAAGCTTGTTTTAATTTCCTATACTTCCACGTGGTTAATATAATACTAACCCCAAATAATTATATTGCTATAAAAAGACCATTTTGTCCTTCTAATCTTCCTTCTTTATAATTCAATCCTACACAAAATAACTCAAATAAGTCATTGAACTTTTCCATCATTCTACTTTAAATCACCAAATGCTAAAACTTTACAAATTAATCACTAACCCGGCATGGAGGATGTTACATTTTCGGTTCTACTCCTAGCAGGCTTGTGACCTATGGTTTCTAGGGTAAACCTCTTCGAAGCGACAACTCTAGACTTCTCATTCTTTAAGTAGTCACAGTGAGGATTTAACTATTAGGGGACTATTATTTAACTTCAAAATAAATAGGGTCCTAAAAATAATTTGTTGAGTTAATCAATTGATGGAAATGGCCAAGAGGGGGGTGAATTGGCAATTAAAATTTTGGTGGAAGCTTTTGCAGAAAATTGAAAATATTTGCACAACGATTTAGTGTGGTCCGACTTTCTCAACCAAAGTCTACGTCCACTACCTTAGCTATCCACACTAAGTATTTTCCAACAAATTCACTAATTTGTTCTTTCTTTTGAGGACAAAGAGTAACCTTACAACTCCCTCAAGAATTATACCCCAAATTCTTGAGCACACTCTTTTTCAAAGAGAAATACACAAATTTGTAAACTTACAAGAAAAACCTCACAAGGTAAGATGTTTGCACAATTCTAGAACAAGAAAAGAACACTAAAAAATAATTACAAATGAGCACAAATGGTGTTCTTGAAAGCAAAATGAATATTGAAAGGAAAATTGGCTTGATTTGCACAAACTTGGTGTTTAATGCTTTCTCTCTTGTTTCTCTATGATTTCTTGTTGATCAAAGGCTTCAGAACTTGTTTAAATACACCTTGAATCACTTCTGAATGTTGGGGATGATTAGTGGAGATAATAGAGTCGTTTTAGTGTGAAATCATTTAATAAAACAGCTTGGAGCGTGGGGGGAATCGGTACCCCTCATGGGGAATCGGTTCCCTAAGTGTAAAATTCAAATATTTCGACCGTTAAACAGGGGGAATCGGTTCCCTCCGAGCATTCTGTTTTTCTCGGAGCAAAACCATTCAGGGGGGAATCGGTACCCCCTTGGGGGGAATTATTCCCTCTGAGCAATCTGGAATTTTTGGCTTTAAAATAGTTCGAAATATTTTGTAAAATTATTTTGAAATTATTTTAAGTTTAAATCTTAATTTTACACTTGAGTAAGGATTAAAAATGACATTTGAAAGATTTGGAGTAATATTTTGATATTCGAATAATTATATCGAATATACTTAGAAAATCTTTTTGGAAAATCTTAAAATTCGTTTATCTTAATTTGTTATATCGAAATATCAAAATGTTTTCAACAATCTCCCCATTTTTGATATAACAAAACATTTTAGTAATTTTAAGATTTTGAAATCAAGTTTTGAAATTACTCCCCCTTACTCTAACACTTCTCCCCTTTAAAACTCTTCAATATTTCTCCCCCTTTTTTGTTAAATCAAAAAGACTTTTAAAACAAGGTTTTGAAATCATTTAGCCAATTGATGATAAATATATATAGCTTAAGCTGCTAAGATCACAATCAAGAGAAACGTTAGCCATTAGTTCCATAATTCAATATTCATAAATAATGTGAAATGACAAAAATTGGTCATAATGCAACTAATATGTAAATGATGCAAAAATAAACATTAAGCTCAAAATGAAAGTTAAAACCAAACCAAATATATAAGCATGTAAGTTCAAATATCCAATTATCCATCAAATTCAAACATCCAAAATAAAACAATCCATGAACATCAAAATGTTTTACAATTCAAAGTTTTGAGTTCGGGATGATAAATCCATTGGCCCGTTTCCTTATCCTTTTTCCATCTTGCTATCTTCAAGGAAGTAAGATTGATTTGGTTTTGAAGAGGGATAGGAATATCAGAAGAGACCCTAAGACTGAGTTTGATAAACAAATTACTAAGGAGACAACCATAAACCAAGGTTTCTATATTCTTAGAAGGAATAGTGTTTATGGAAACTCGCTAAAGATGATTTGTGGCAGATTAATCTTCTTTTTATGTTGGATATAGTATATCCACCATATATCTATGTTCCTAAGGGAGGATTACCTACCTCCGGATGGTCTAAACCACCAAGAGATCATATAATGAAGGAATCTATCAAGATAAGTTCTTAGGGTACTCTCACTATCCTTAGACTTATAGGGTGAATCCACAGTCTCTTTTTCATTAAACATGAGTTATCTAGTCCAAAATGGGTAGCGATTGTGCCGGAGTCTATAAAAATGAATTGTCCTAAAAGATAGGATCGAATTCCTATAATTTTATATCGGCGCTCGTTTTGGACACATACCACATTGGAATAGAAAAATGCAGACTAATTGATGATAAACCAAAGGTTTGAGTTTAAAGAGTTTATCAAACTTTTAGGATTTAAGAGTATGAAGATATTGAAAGTCCATATCTTCTACAGCTTGAATCGAAGGGATACGTTCTTCCCGGATTTTGTATGACTCAAAACAAGTATGATACCTATGGTATAGATTTTGTCTACGACCAGGTACGTGAAACAAGAGTTCAGAATGGTCATATTTGGGTTATTTGGATTGGGTGGAGGAATAAGAGGTCGGTTTTGACTTAAGCGACTAGACAATGTCTTAAGTCGTTTAGGATTTGACATGGTTTAAGAATCGGAATAGAATATGTAACCTGCAAATTTAAACACATGTATGCAATATAATCAAACCCAAAACTCAAATGAGTCCTCAATATTTCAAGGTTCTCTAAAACAAATCCTAAAGGGCAATGTTTTGAAAAACTATTTGGAAAATAATGTTTGAAAATCATAATACGTATAGTTTTTACGAAAACAACATAATTGAATCAAAAACATCAATTAAAACAACAATTCTCGATTTTTTTATTTCGAAATTAAAAGAAAAATTGAGTGTTTTTGACGAAATTGGTTGTAAAATCATCATATAACCAATGCCCGATGTAATGTTCATCTTAGAACTAATCAAAACTATTCCTAAGTTCAAAAATCAATGAAATAGAGGATTTTGAAATATTACCTTGAAAATTTGGATTTTATGAGAATGTGATGTTGTTTGCAAGGATTAGAAGTTGAAGAAAGATCTAATTCCGACTTGTATTTGATGATTTTGGCAAAAATGGAGATTTAGAGAGAAATAGAGGATGAACGACGTTTAAGAAAGAAGAGAGGTTTTGAGAGAATGGGTTTTCTGGTCGTGATATATCCAGAACCCGTGGGGGGGTATCGATTCCCTCAAGGAGGGAATCGATTCCCATTCAAAGGAGGAATCGGTTCCCTTATGGGGGTATCGATTCCCTCTGCCAAATGTTTAAAAAATTTGTATTTTAAACATCCAATAGTGCTAAAATAATTAATCCTAGTGGTATTGGCAACTCATATTTCGAAAATTAACTATGTTCAAACAATCAAATTTGTCATTAAAACATCATTTGAACAAACAATTAATTTTCACTATTAATCATAAACTCCCCCTAACTAATAGCAATGAATGCAATCAAAAATTACCATTGTAAGCATTTTTTATTTATTCTTAAAAGTGCTAAAAAATATTTTAAACACTAAGTGAAGATAGGTCAGTTAAACCTAATTCTCTCCTAAGTGTCCAAAATCTTTTCTTGTTTAAAGGTTTTGTAAAGATATCCGCTAATTGGTGCAAAATATCAACAAATTCTAGAACTACATCTTCCTTAGTGACATGGTCTCTAATGAAGTGATGTCTTATTTCAATGTGCTTAGTTCTAGAGTGTTGGATGGGATTTTTAGTGAGACAAATAGCACTAGTATTGTCACACTTGATAGGAATGGTACCTACTTAAATTTCATAATCAAAAAGTTGTTGTTTCATCCATAAAACTTGTGCACAACAACTACTGGCTGAAATGTATTCGGCTTCAGTGGTAGATAATGCAACACAATTTTGTTTCTTTGAAAACCAAGAAATCAACATATTTCCAAGGAAAAGGCATCTAATTTGCAAGTACCGGAGGTGCTTTTCCTATCTAATTTGCATCCTCCATAATCCGCATCAGAATAGGCATGCAAGCTAAAGCTAGAGTCTCTAGGATACCAAAGTCCTAAACTAGAAGTGTCCTTAAGGTATCTAAAGATTCTCTTGACAGCTAGTAAATGTGATTCCTTAGGTCATGATTGAAATCTAGCATATAAGCATATACTAAACATAATGTCCGATCTACTTGCAGTTAGATAAAGTAAAGATCCAATCATTGACCTATATAATTTAACATCTACATATTTACCTCATTCATCTAAGTCAAGCTTTGTTGAAGAGTTCATTGGAGTGTCATGAGGTTTGCCCTTTTCCAGTCCAAACTTCTTGAGCATATCTTTGACGTACTTAGCTTGATTGATGAAGATGCCATCTTTTCTTTGCTTGATTTGGAGTCCCAAGAAAAATGAGAGCTCCCCCATCATGCTCATTTTGAATTCACTTTGCATTAGCTTAGAAAATTCTTGGCAAAGAACATCATTAGTAGAACCAAATATTATATCATCAATATAAATTTGAACTACTAATAAATCTTTACCTTTATGCTTTAAAAACAATGTAGTGTCAACCTTCCCTTTTGAAAAAACCTTTTTTAATTAAAAAATTTGACAATCTTCATACCAAGCTCTTGGAGCTTGTTTTAAACCATAAAGTGTTTTTGTCAATTTAAGAACATGATCAGGAAATTTTGAATCTTCAAAACCTGGAAGTTGTTCCACATACACTTCTTTTATAAAACCATTTAAAAATACACTTTTAACATCCATTTGATATAATTTAAATTCATGAAAACATGCAAATGCTAATAACATTTTAATTGCTTCCATCCTAGCTACGGGGGCGTATGTTTCATCATAGTCTATGCCCTCTTCTTGAGTATACCCTTGAGCAACAAGTCTAGCCTTGTTTCTCACTATATTACCACTCTCATCAAGCTTATTCCTAAATATCCATCTAGTACCTACAATAGATTTATTACTAGGCCTTTCAACTAATGTTCATACTTTACCTCTCTCAAATTGATTTAACTCTTCTTGCATAGCCATAATCCAATGTTCATCATTTAATGATTTTTTAATATTCTTAGGCTCTATGCATTAAATAAATGCAACATAATTACAAATATTTCTAAGAGAAGATCGAGTTGTTACCCCTTTGGATGGATCACATATAATTTCACCATCCTTGACATAGTTGTACTCTCTTAGATAAGATACTTCCCTTTCTTCAATGGTTGGATTCTCAAGAGGATCATGAGTTTCCTCATCTTTCGTTTCTTCCTTTGATGATGATTCTCCAACGTCATGTCTAACATCATTTGTATTTATAATACCTACATCATCATTCAAACAAGAATTCTTCCTCGGAAGGAGATTATCATCGAAAACAACATGTATAGACTCTTCTACAACTAAAGTTCTTTTATTAAATACTCGATAAACTTTAGAATTTAAGGAATAACCCAGAAAAATTCCTTCATCACTTTTAGCATCAAATTTGCTAAGGTTTTCTTTACTGTTGTTTAAAACAAAACATTTACATCCAAAATGATGAAAATCGCTAATGTTAGGTTTTTTATTTTTGAAAATTTCATATGGAGTTTTCTTTAAAAATTGGCCTAATCATTACTCGATTTACAACATACCAAGCGGTATTTGTGGCTTCCGCCCAAAAATATTTTGGCAAATTATTTTCACAAAGCATGGTTCTAGCCATTTCTTCTAAAGTTCAATTTTTCCTCTCAACAACTCCATTTTGTTGAGGGGTTCTAGATGCTGAAAAATTATGGCTAATACCATTAGAATTACAAAACTCATTAAATCCAAGATTTTCAAATTCAGTGCCATGATCACTTCTAACACTAGTGATAGAGTAACCTTTTTCGTTTTGGATTACTTTTGAAAATGTGATGAAATTTTCTAATGCTTCATATTTAGTACTTAAAAATAGAACCCAAGTATATCTAGAATAGTCATATACCAAGACAAATGCATATTGTTTTCCACCCAAGCTAGTAGTCCTAGTTGGCCCAAAAAGATCTATATGGATCAATTGTAATACTCTACTAGTTGATACGTCATTAATGGATTTAAAAGGAACTTGCTTTTGTTTTCCTTTAGCACAAGCATCACAAGTTTTATCATTATCAAATTTTAGTTTAGACATCCCTCGAACCAATTCTCCTTGAACTAACTGTTGCAAAACACTCATACTAGCATGTCCTAGTCTCCTATGCCATAACAAATCATCATGCTCATCCCTAGCAACTAGGCACAAAATAGTTATATTAATAAAATCTAAATGCATCTTGAATAATATCATCTTTATCACCATTGCTCTCACACACCTACAAGAGACATTTAAGTAGATTTTGGTATCCAAATTGCTTTGGATCCTTGAACATTAGTTTCAATGCCTCTTGTTCCTTTTGGAACCCATACTTGTCTAATTTTAAATCGTTTTCCTTTCTTTAAAGGACAAGTATGTTCCTTATGACCATGATAATGACAATGTAAACATATTGTCATTATTGAACTAGATGAATTATTTAGAATGATCTCTTTTTCTCTTGTTAAACATTCAAGCTTATCTTTCAAATTGAAATTTTCTTTTTCAATACTTTCAAATTTCATTTTTGAGAGTTCTAAATCCTTCTTCAAGATTTCATTTTGATTTTAAAAATCCATTTTCATTTCTAGAAGAAGTTTGTTTAATTTGAAAATTTCTATTTCAAAGTTTTCAGATTTTATTTTTGAAAGCTCTAACTCCTTTTTCAACATTTCATTTTGATTTTCCAAGTCTGTTTTAGCTTTCAAAAGATGATCATTTTTAGTAATAAATTTAGAAATCAATTTATTGTATTTGGAGTTCATGATCTCAAACTCCGAAAATAATTTATCATAAGCATCTTGTAACTCATTAAAAGATTTTGAATTTGATATATTTGAGTTAGAAGATACATTTGGCTCTGTGAGAGCTAATAGAGACATCACTTTTATTGGTTCTTCTTCTTCCTTGTCTCTATAGATCTTCTCAAGCTTATCCCACATTTCCTTGGCACTTGAACAAGAATAAATTCCTTTATATAAATTAGGATCAATTGCACAACACAACATGTGCATAGCCTTTGAGTTTTGTTGAGCTTCCTTCCGTTCTTAAACACTCCACTTCTTTGCCTTCTTAGTAGGAGAGGAATATCCTTTCTTGAGTATCATCCAAGCTTCCATATCAAATTCTTTGATGAATATCATCATACACCTCTTCCAATGACGATAATTTATTCCATTGAAGTGTGGAGGCACGTCAATAGGTCTGGATTCTTCCATGGAGAATAAACCGGAAGTAGACGACATCTTTATCGATTTAACTCTTCCCGGATTGACTCAAGAGGCGATTAAACCTTCAAATGAGTGAGGCTCTGATACCAATTGTTGAGTTAATCGATTGACGGAAATGACCAAGAGGGGGGTGAATTGGCAATTAAAATTTTGGTGGAAGCTTTTGCAGAAAATTGAAAATATTTACACAACGATTTAGAGTGGTTCGACTTTCTCAACCAAAGTCTACGTCCACTACCTTAGCTATCCACACTAAGTATTTTCCAACAAATTCACTAATTTGTTCTTTCTTTTGAGGACAAAGAGTAACCTTACAACTCCCTCAAGAATTATACCCCAAATTTTTTAGCACACTCTTTTTCAAAGAGAAATACACAAATTTGCAAACTTACAAGGAAAACCTCACAAGGTAAGATGTTTGCACAATTCTAGAACAAGAAAAGAACACTCAAAAATAATTACAAATGAGCACAAATGGTGTTCTTGAAAGCAAAATGAATATTGAAAGGAAAATTGGCTTGATTTGCACAAACTTGGTGTTTGATGCTTTCTCTCTTGTTTCTCTATAATTTCTTGTTGATCAAAGGCTTAAGAACTTGTTTAAATACACCTTGAATCACTTCTAAACGTTGGGGATGATTAGTGGAGATAATAGAGCCGTTTTAGTGTGAAATCATTTAATAAAACAGCTTGGAGCGTGGGGGGAATCGGTACCCCTCATGGGGAATCGGTTCCCTAAGTGTAAAATTCAAATATTTCGACCATTAAACAGGGGGGAATCGATACCCCCTGGGGGGAATCGGTTCCCTCCGAGCATTCTGTTTTTCTCAGAGCAAAACCATTCAGGGGGAATTGGTTCCCTCTGAGCAATCTGGAATTTTTGGCTTTAAAATGGTTCGAAATATTTTGTAAAATTATTTTGAAATTATTTTAAGTTTAAATCTTAATTTTACACTTGAGTAAGGATTAAAAATGACATTTGAAAGATTTGGAGTAATATTTTGATATTCGAATAATTATATCGAATATACTTAGAAAATCTTTTTGGAAAATCTTAAAATTCATTTATCTTAATTTGTTATATCGAAATATCAAAATGTTTTCAACATAATTAAATCATAAAAGTTAAGAGATTAAATGTTTAATTTCATTAATTTTAAAATTCAAAGTTCTTAAAATGTAACTAAACCAGACAAATTTGGGATTAATACTTAATTCCATTAATTTCAAAACTGACAGTGGCCTAAAAAACAATTATACCGTAAAATTTTGGGAGAGACAAGGACTTAATTACAATGGTTTTAAAAACTACTAGTTACTTAAGAGGTAATTAAACCATCAAAGTTTGGGGCATTACCCCTCCCATCTATAACATAGATCCGTCCATGCGTAGAGATAATGACCCTTTATTCCAGAACAATAACAACCATCAGTTTCCCTTGTACAATTTTCATAGTGATAATAGTCTACAAGGAGATTCGAAAAGGGTCATAATACGAGTCTCAGAGTCTTTTTTAATCTTCTTGCGTTAGCCACCCATAACACTTCATATCTGACTCAGAATTATGATCAAGTCTCAAACACCACATTCATTATCAGAATTGTTCCACTCAGTTTCATAATTATATGATCAACTTTTAAATAATTCAAACTAGAAAAATAATCCTTTTTGAATATACATGAAACAATCTGAAAAAGACATCGGATTTTATATTTTATCAATTACAAGGACTAACTTGTAAATTTAATAAGATATTTTTTATAGTTAGTAATTTGTGTGAAATACTAAATTATTGTGCATTAAATACAAGTTCATTCAAAATAACAATTCTAAAGTAAATTATAGTTAAATCAGACATTAATTGAAAATATATAATTTAAAAAATAATCATAATTTTTTTAAAATTTATCTTAAATTCCATTGTACTTCTATATCGCCCGGTTAATATTGATACTGATAATAAACATCGATACTTCTATGAGTTGTATCAATATTAGATGAATAATATTAGTATTCCACCTGGAAAATGTTGTAAACTAATCCTAAACTTGCCCTTAGTGACCCTAACATGCACTAGAGTGATTTGAAACATATCATATATGTGAAACCAAGTCAGGATACACCATTCAAGTCATCAAAACACTAGAAATCAAAATTAAGCCCCTAAATTCTTAAACTTACATTTTGATTCATTTTCAGTAACTACATATGCCTTATTGAGTACTAATGTTCATCTTATGCCTCCAACAAACATCATATTCCAAAACGCTACGTATTTTATATTTTTATTTATGAAATAACTTAAATTTTTATTCTCTTCTTCTACATGGATGGAACTTGCCATTTGCAGTCTTGTTTTGTAATAAATTTAACCTAATATTTCAACTTTCTTCTCACCAACTTTGTTTTCCTTGAAATAGATAAAACTTAAATTAAAATTTAGATATTTTCTTGGTTTAATATGCAATATCCACCATTTGACCAATTTGAAATCGATATATATTATTTTCGTCCTACTTTTTGACCTCTTGTCGTTCAAATTTAAAAGAAAACACTATAGAATCGATGAATCAAAGGGAATCTAAAAATGCATTTAACAAAAAAATTAAGTGACATTAATGATAGAGTGACTAGAAAGAGTGAAAGTTGAGTGATGAAATTGAAACATTTTAAAGAGTGACAAAAATATAAAAGAAAACAAAGTTGAGTGACCAAAAACATTGCTTATGTCCTTGTTAAAAATATAAGTGATTTTGCATAAGGGGAAGGGGAGAGGTTGTCTGGAATCAAACTTAGGAACTAATGCTAAAAATAAAAACCTAAAACGGGATAAAGTAACTTTGAATCCTTAAACTTGATAATTCTTTTCAATTTAGTCTTTAACTTTTTTGATCCACGTTACTCCTTGAACTCTTATTTTTGGTATTTTTAATCCTTTTGATGATGTGGTATAGTATCAGAGTGTCACATTATTAAACTAAAATGAGAAAAATTGTCAAGTCCAGGAACTAATGTGTACCAAAATAAAATTCAGAGACTAAGTTGAGAAAATTGTTAAATTAAAGGACTAAACTAATGTAGACAAAAATCAAGGGACTAAACTGGGAAAAATACCAATTTCAATGACTAAAAGCTGCTTTATCCCTCCTAAAAACACTCAAACAAACTCAAACTTACATAGCCAAGAGTGAAGACCATCCATAACAAAGAAATAGTAAATCAGTTTGAATAGGTAAAGCCCCATACCCGTGGAATACGGTGAAGAGCTCAAAACAGTTACACTATATAAAAAGGATCATCCTCGACAACTCCATTGACACTTTTTTCTTTTTAATTATTATTTATTGAGTCTCTGCAACTTAAAAGAGATTATCAATGGCTGGCAAAGGTGAGGGTCCGGCAATCGGCATAGATCTTGGCACTACGTACTCGTGCGTTGGCGTTTGGCAACATGACCGGGTTGAGATTATTGCTAATGATCAAGGGAACAGAACCACACCTTCCTATGTTGCTTTCACTGATAGTGAGCGATTGATTGGCGACGCTGCTAAGAACCAGGTTGCCATGAACCCTATTAACACTGTCTTTGGTAAGTCTTGTTGGATTTTTTTCTGGTCCCATCAATGTAGTGTTTCTACAAAGATAAAGCATTTACAGTTTTAACACGATTTTCATGTGTATCATCACATACAGTTTTAGATTTTGATTGTTTTGAGTTTGTGACACAAGTTTAGATCGTTTCTTATTTGAATCAATTTCAATTTTCTAATCAATTCGAGTTTGAGTTGGACATGTTTAGATTGTTTACCTTTATAACCTAATTAGGTTGAATCGAGTTTGAATTCATATTTATTAGTACGTCAAATTTTCTAATTTAGATCAACTCAAATTGAAGTTAGACAAATTTAGATTCTTGGCTTTTATGGCCTAATCAAAATTTAAGTCTAAATTGAAATGATTTATATTATTATTTTTTATGATGAAATTTGATTGGATTGGATTTAGATTGATGTACTGTGATCGGAGAATTGAAATATATGTATATATATGTATATATATATATATATATTCCTATACATTGATGCATGCTATGGTTTCTAATTTTACGATATTAGATGCAAAGCGGTTGATTGGAAGGAGGTTCAACGACGCTTCGGTCCAAAGCGATATGAAGTTGTGGCCATTCAAGGTTACCCCTGGTGCGGCTGACAAGCCTATGATCACTGTCTCATACAAAGGCGAAGACAAGATGTTCGCAGCTGAAGAAATCTCATCTATGGTTCTCATGAAGATGAAAGAAACAGCCGAGGCCTATCTAGGTTCCACTGTGAAGAACGGCGTCGTTACCGTCCCTGCATATTTCAATGACTCCCAGCGTCAGGCCACCAAAGATGCAGGCGTCATTGCAGGCCTCAATGTCATGCGAATCATCAACGAACCTACCGCTGCCGCCATCGCTTATGGACTCGACAAGAAAGCTGGCAGTGCCGGAGAGAAGAATGTGCTCATCTTCGATCTCGGCGGCGGCACCTTCGATGTCTCTCTTTTGACAATCGAAGAGGGTATTTTTGAAGTCAAAGCCACTGCTGGTGATACACACCTTGGAGGGGAAGATTTTGATAATAGGATGGTGAACCATTTCGTGCAAGAGTTCAAGAGGAAAAACAAGAAAGACATAAGTGGAAACCCTAGGGCTTTGAGGAGATTGAGGACTTCATGTGAAAGAGCAAAGAGGACTCTTTCATCCACCGCTCAAACCACCATCGAGATCGATTCCTTGTATGAAGGGATCGATTTTTACTCGACGATCACTCGAGCTCGATTCGAGGAGCTTAACATGGACCTGTTCAGGAAATGTATGGAGCCAGTGGAGAAATGTTTAAGGGATGCTAAGATGGATAAGAGTACCGTGCATGATGTTGTTCTCGTTGGTGGATCTACCAGGATTCCCAAGGTTCAATCGCTATTGCAGGACTTCTTTAATGGAAAAGAACTCTGCAAGAGCATCAACCCCGATGAGGCCGTCGCCTACGGTGCGGCCGTACAAGCCGCCATTTTGAGCGGTGAAGGCAACGAAAAGGTTCAAGATTTGCTCCTTTTGGATGTCACGCCGCTTTCTCTAGGGCTCGAAACGGCTGGTGGTGTAATGACCGTTCTTATTCCAAGGAACACTACAATTCCGACCAAAAAGGAACAAGTTTTCTCTACTTATTCAGACAACCAACCTGGTGTTTTGATTCAGGTTTATGAAGGTGAAAGAACGCGGACAAGGGACAATAACTTGCTCGGAAAATTCGAGCTCTCCGGCATCCCACCAGCTCCGAGAGGTGTCCCTCAGATCACTGTTTGTTTCGACATCGATGCCAATGGCATTCTGAATGTCTCGGCTGAGGACAAAACAACAGGGCAAAAGAACAAGATCACAATCACCAACGACAAGGGCAGGCTCTCCAAGGAAGAGATTGAAAAAATGGTCCAAGAAGCTGAGAAATACAAATCAGAGGACGAAGAACATAAAAGAAAAGTGGAGGCTAAGAATGCATTGGAGAACTACGCGTATAACATGAGGAACACTGTGAGGGATGAGAAAATTGGTGCTAAGTTGAATCCGGCTGACAAGAAAAGCATTGAGGATGCAGTTGAGCAGGCCATCAATTGGCTGGATAGTAACCAGTTAGCCGAAGCTGATGAGTTCGAGGATAAGATGAAGGAGCTTGAAAACTTGTGTAACCCCATTATTGCCAAAATGTACCAAGGCGGTGGTGGTGATCCGGTCGGCGGAAAGAGCAGCGATGCCCCTCCGGCTTCCGGAAGCGGAGCTGGTCCCAAGATCGAGGAGGTTGACTAAGAATGAACAAGTCGTTTCAGTGTTTTTTGTTCTTCTGTTGGGATTTTAAGGAATCCTGAATAGGATTTTGAGGGCACTAATAACTAAGTAGGATCATGTTTTGGTTTGGGTTTCATTTTTCAGTACATGAAGCATCTCTACTATTTCCCTTCAAAGGCCATTTTGGTTCTCTTTTAAACATGCCCCATTTCTCTGACACTGAATTTTCAATTTTTATCCTTTGCGTTGCACCACAAGTATTCATCACATGTAGGCTTGGCATCTTGCGCATGCTTGAATGGTATTTATATTGCTCCCTATAGTTGAAATTTGATTATAAATAATTAACATATTAAATGAACCCCGGAACTATACTATTTTATTTAAATAAACCCCAATAATTAATTGTAATCTTTTAACAACTTATACCTGAGTAAGTGGCTAACCTCTTAACTTATACTCTCTTCCATATGACCTTTCAATTTATATATTTATGGCATAAAATCAACTAAAGTACAAATCATCAAAGGATAACAGCGTATTCATAAAAAAAATATTTCATGGACTCTCTTATCACATCATCAATGGTCCCTTCCAATAAAAAAATCTGTATCAATATTTATTTTCTTATCATTTATTCATAAAGATAACAATTAATTAAAACACTACCCAAAAGAAAATCTGTATATTTTACCGGAATTCATAAACTTTCATTTTCCAATATCCCTTGTCTTTGTAATAAAATTTCTTTAAAAAAATCTCCATTTTTATTGCTGTCTGTATCTATTTTCTTAAGACCCAAAAGTAAAAAAAGCAATAAAATAACAGATGCGGTGAGTATAACAATCCGAGAAAACTGCAAGTTTTGTGAGATACTGAGACTACTTCACGAAAATCGCCCATCAACTCCTCCAGATATGTAGCGACAGCAGTGGAAGCAACAATGCAGACTCAACTTCTATTTGTACTGTTTCGAGAAATCATTTCGGTGGTGAAAATTTAAATAGCTCAAACGGAAATGCTCAAATAAGAATACTTCTACTTGTTCTACATCAAGAAATCATTTGGAGATTGTTCCATTATCATAATTCCTAAAGAACTCATTCTATTAAGCTTTGTCATACGATTTGTAATTTTGTTGTATTAACGTGCCGCATAAATAATGTAAGTTCTCAATCAGTGTCCAAATACTATGGAGTATGGACTAGAGAAACATCACACCCCAATGACCATCATTAATTAGTTGTATCATTGTTCAAGTGTAGTCTGCTCCTTCTTCAAGTGCAGTATGTTCGATTGCCACCCACATTTGATATTTTATTACTTTTTATTTTTGAGGTCTCAAATCAGTTAAAGAAGATAGACGCAGAACAGAACAAATGAAAAAGGAGATTTTTTTTTAAAAGGAAATATTTATTACAAAGGGGTATTGAGAAAGGAAAGTCTATGAATGCTGGTAAATTTGACAGATTTTTTTTTGGGTAGTGTTTTAATTAATTGATATTCTTATGTGTAAATTACAAAGAAATAAATATTGACGTTGATTTTTTTAATTGGTTAAGACTATTGATGACACAGTGAAAAGGGTTCATGAAATAACTTTTCGTATCTAGGAGAATGTATGTTTGTATAAATCTTCATATTACGAGTATAATTTGAAATAATAAATATATATTAGAAAAATTATGTGTTATTCTTCGAATTGTATTACACAAGAATTAATATTGGCATATGTTATGGTAAACCAAAATTTTACTAATAATTTTTGGCATAAACGGTTAAGTTATCTTGATGTAGTTCTGATACAAAAAAATTATTAACTGTTCATAAGCATTCATTTAAAAGTCAACAGAATCTATAATCTGACATTTGCGAGGTTACTTCGAACACATATTTTGTTTTTTTTTTATAAAGACAATCAATCTTAATAAGACTAATGAATTTACCTCTTTGTGCATTGGAATAATTGTTAAACATCCTATAGCACATGTTCATGTACAAAATTAATGTTAATAATATATATCGCCAAAAAATTCTTCACTAATATATATATATATATGCTCATTTAAATAAAACGGTTCAAATTTATCGTGTATCTTCTTTCATGTGCTCTATAGTGTTGGTTTGACAAATTAAAACAGAAAAGAAACTTGATAAAGCTCAGTCATGTCGTGAACCATTTGACACATTACTTTTCTCATTTATTGTGGATAATTTAAATTATTGGTACTCCTTGTAATAACGGAAACTTAAGATACAAAATTTATCAAGAATATGTTTTCCGAAATTTCCAGCAGGAAAAAGAAAATCCAAATAGACACTGATAAATGAATGTTCTCTAACTACAACCGGATACAAATTCTCTGACTAGTGGCGATGAACAATGATGCATAAATTCAACATTCAAAGAAAACCCATACTATTTCCTTCCCCTGTTAAGCCTCTGCAGGTGGTAATTGATGCTGCCCCATGGCTTCCTATTCATGGTAGACTGCAACAAAGTAAACAAAAATGTTTGTGTATGTCATTATATTTTAGATTTCAGAGAAAAGAATATTACAGTCGGGGGTCAAGATGGAAATAATTATGTAAACTGTTAAAAGTAATTGAGTTTGGGGACATTAGTTCTACAAGTGAGACCAGCGTTACAAACCTGAGCTTCCATACAGGCATTCAAAAGATCCTTCTGCCGAACACATTTTTCTTCATTAGCCTTGTTAAGGGCCAAGCAGTTTAAGAATGATGTCATTTCCTTCATGCAAGGTTTTGCAAGAGAGCCAAATTTCTTCGGATTTATATACAGTGCATCAGCTTTGCGGCCCATTCTTTATTATTTAGTCTACATGAACAGAAGAAAAGAAATAAGAAGCTACATCAACCTCCTTTCTAATTCAACTATATGTCAAGTGAAACAGGTTAAAAGGAATTTTGCAAAAGAAACTAAAAAACAGATGACAGCAGAACAGCAGGATAAGCATGATAGCAACATCACAAAAAGCTAAAAACAATTATACACAAAACTTCAGAAACTAAAAAGTTCATATACATGTAAAGAAATTATACTTACGAACGTCTGTTTGGGATTGATGATTCAGCTCATCAAAGGGAAACTAAAACCTTTCAGGTCATTAAAGGGAGATTTAAACCTTAGCATTGATTAAAGAGAGACCTAGATTTTTTAGGGTTTTTGATATAAGTTCTGCTTAGAGTTTTATCATTTTAACCATCCCTATAAATAAGAACCAGTCTCATTACATAAAAAGGAAATATATTCTTAAAAGGAAAATAAGTCAACTTAAATTAAAAACATAATCAAGAAGCCTGAGAAATAAAAGTGTAACCTAAGCCTTAACTAAATAACCCAAATTAATGGCCTTTCCTAACATAGATGTGAACTGTAACATCAACCCTGGCGAAGCATAACAAGTTCCTTTCAAGCTCGTGTAAAATTTACAACTTAAATCTAAAATGGCTTTAGACACTGAAGAATCCACACCCTAAAGCATTAATTGCTGCTCTGGATATGTAACCGAGTGTGACTTGACAAATACAAATCTTCCAATGCCTCTGCTCTCTCTAAAAGTAAACAAATTACATATAATGTATTATAAGAAACAGATCATATGTAGAATTTGGAGTTCACTTAATTTAATCATAGTCAATCGCATTGTAAGAGAAGAGAAGAAAACTAGAAAGGATGGTAACAGAAAGGAGAGGTGGGGCAGCTGCTGAAAGTGCGTATAAAATAAAATGTAGTTGAAGTAGATGGATTATCGGGTTTAAGGGGAAATTTGGCCACAGACAAACTTCACCCCGAAAAAGAAACCGGTATGTATTTCCCACAAATCAGTACCCTGCCTTCCCATTACAAACTAGATGAGAAGACGTGCCAACAATCTCAACCTACAAAAGCGCACACTTTTATTACACTAATTGAAGCAGAACAGATTGGTTTAACGGCAAGAATGAAAAACAACCATTTGTATGATTTGCAATTAGCATTAAAGAAAATTGTAGCAAGCTTTTAACCTTAAGTTCAAATATCCTGCAAGTCTTGTTTACTTATATATGTACTTTATAGTAATTTCAGGAGATCCGAAAGATTGTACACCTAACAGAGCAGAAAATTCTTCTCAACAGTGGCTATATAGTAATAAATCTTAACTCCTATGTTAGATCAATTAGCTTGTGAGAAGCTCGGGATAAAGTACCTTAACAACTACCCATCTATAATCGGATTTTCCAGACTTAACCTTAAAAAAATTAGCAACTAGAACAAAGATTAATTCAATCAAACAACTTCTATTTAGAAATTACTGGAAATGAAGTTTGATTTGAACATAGCATACAAATAATTTTTCAACTAACTCGAATGAAGAAAAAATTAACAGATAATTCTAAAAAAATAAAGGAGAGACTAAAGAAGGGAATCTACCGGATCAGCAAACTTCAACAGAGAACAAGTTAAAGAGAGGAATGGAACGATCAACCTCGAGCTTTAGGGTTTTATTTTATCTTCTCTTATTATTCCCCCTTTTTTATGAAACTAGGTGGGTCGGATCCAAGTTTCAAAATATTAATGATGGGCTGGGCCAACTAGTTGAGCCTTCTTGCCCAAATAAGAAAAATAGTCTAAGATAATAAAAGATGAAAAGGCTAAATTATTTATCTATATTATGCACTAAACTTTTGATTGAGTTGATGTCGTGATTAAATTATTTATTAATTCAATTAAAAATAATAATTTTTTTTTATTTTAAAGTATGATAAATATTATCATAAAGCTATTTTATATTCTATACGATAATAATTTTTCATTAAAATAAATAAAATTTATTAGTTGAGAATTAAATATGTGATTAATAAATTTATATATATATATATATATCATTATATCTATGATTCTTTATTAACTTCAATCTTTTAAATATATTTTTTACATAAAATATTTCCATAATATGAGTTAAAATAACTAGTAATTGTTATGTAAATTGATAATCACATCAAGATTTAAAAATGCATATATTTGTAATATTTTGAAAAAAATAAATACTACATTTAATAACTTTCTAATATGAATATTTATTTAATAATAACAATTTAAGTAGTTGTGTGTATTGGTGTGTCACATTATAATGGTGTATTTCGACATGCGACATGTGCTCTATACTCATTCGTACAAATATAATGATGAAATAAAATATTAAGAAAAAATAATTATATTCTTTGTTAGAAATTTAAACTATGTTAATGTAATAAAAACAGTTAATTCCTATAAAGTGGTTGAACAGGAAAACACCTATTGTTTTTATTTATGTTCTTCTACCAATTTGATTTGTTTACCAATCGCTTGGATTTATTGAGAATATATATATATATTATCAATACTTTGGAAGAATAAATTAATCTTTATGTTAATATTTTAAAATTGAGAATATAAGCATTAAATATAACACATAAAGATCAATTTAGTTTAATTTGATTTATATTATTATCAATATAATACTTAAAAGAGTATTAGATCAAATATATTTAAGCATTTAATATTTTTAAATTATAAATAAAAATTAAATCATATAAATAATGTATTGAATTGTTTGAAAATATAACACGCAAAAGATTTAAAAGTTCTGATAGTAGGTGGTCAATGCAATGAATTATTTAGCGATCAATTTTTTTTTTATAAATCTTAGTAAATACAATATAATATATATTTTAAGATTTTTAATCCTTTGACCATGAATGTTCATACCTCAGCATTCGTGATATTCGAACCTAAAATCAAGAGATAATAACAAATCTCTTAACTATTGAAATCTATTGGTCTTAGCATGTAAAGATCGATCCTACTACAAATAGTGTTGATCAAATTTAAATGTGAGACTGTTAATATCAATCTATAAAATATTAATTATTTATTAACGAAGATTGTTTGGTTCTCATGTTCCAGTAATAAATTCAATAAAAAAATAATATAAAAATCACAAGTCTTCTAACTCCTTTAAAAAAATATATATGTCATGCACGAAAATGACATAAATTGGTGTCGTTTGCTCTCTATAACTCTATTCATTATCAATGTGCAAAGATGAAGAACTAAGAATCCTTACCTGGCTAGCTGCCGCTGCTACTAAATTACAGCTTAACTGTTGATCTCCACTCCCTTTTATTTTTATTCAAAAGAAAGTTATTAAAGTCGGGTGTCGTTAGTCTCGATCCTTTATTATGTTTAAGTCGGTTTTGTGTCGACACTGGATTGGTAGGTCGGTCAAGACTCAAGAATCAAGCAATCTTCATTTCCCACAAATTTTCAAATTATTTATATTCTCTCCGTAGAATAGTTATCAATTTGGTTTTTTTAAATTACCTTTTGTCAGGTCATTTAGTGCCTCAACTTTAATTCCTTAGTCATTTTCGTTAAAATTAAACCCACAATTAATAAAACTATGCAAATGTATACACACCAATGTCATAAAAAATTCAAAAATGATTTTTTTTCTGTATTAATTTTGGTTTTTATTATGATGTGGTATTTTATACGTGTGTCATGTTTTTGTTAGTTGTTAATTGCTATCTTATCTTTTGACGACAAATGTTGTAATGTCAATGGCAATTTGGATATTTTGATGCTAAAGTGGTTAAAATTGATATTGAAAATTAACAATAAAAGTCTAAGTTTCTATACCCATAAACTTTAACTTTTCTGAATGGGTAAATTACAAATTTCACTATTCAACTTTGACTATATTTCTATTTGGTCATTAAACTTTAAAAAACTTTTAAATTGCTCAATTCTTTTACCACTTGAACGTTAAATCAAAAACAACATAGTGATATGGTTGGTTTTATGCTTATGTGTATAGCATTTTGTTGATGTGGAAGTCATTTGTTGTCCGCATCATATTTTTCTTCCCTACAAATATCAAACTTTAATAGTTTCATCTTTGTGTCCCGTTATTGTCAAAATCATTAATTCATTATTCTTCAGCATCATTTCCGACCACTCAACCACACAAGACAACAAAAAACTGGTCTCATCATTTCCTTCCTAGAGTTTAGATATTTTTATTCAAAATATCTTTAAATTTCAACCCAAAATCTAGAGGAAAATTACTTTGATCTATAATCTTTACCATTCAATCAAAGTAAAATCATTATATATAGCTCGTCTCTTTCTTCTCTACCTCCCTACGGTTGGAATTTGAAAAAAGATAACTTATCATTAAGAAATCATAAATAATATGAAGCCATGATTTTTTAATAAAAAATAAAGTTTTGGGGCCTTGTTCACATTAAAAAAAAACAGATGTCTAGATATATTTTCAATCATTTAACGGTAAAATAAAAAAATAAAAATTCAATGATCAAATTAAATATATCTAGATATAAAGTTGAATGATTCAACTCAATGTTTGAATTCGTTAAATCTTCCAAATATTACCTGCCTCGACACAATGATTATTGTCTTCCTTTTACCCAATTCAAAATTTCTATATGTTGGAGCTTAGATTTTAGGGAAAAGTACAAGTTTAGTATTTAAATTATTATTTTATTTCATTTTAGTATTTAAGCTTTAATTTTTCTCAAAGTTAACGTAACATTTAGTTTAGGTTTCATTTCGGTATCACGTCGTTAAAAACTTAACGAAACTAATATGTGGCATTTTTAGGGTCAAATTACATCATTCATCAATTATCTTCTCATTCCTATTTTGGTCACTAAAATTTAAAAAAATTCAATTTAATTACTCAACTTTTAAATTGTTCATGTTTTAATCACTCTAATTTATTTTATAAATTTTTTTGTTAAATTATTTTTATTATTTTATTAATATATAATTAAAACAAACAAATAAATTTAAAATTATACTTAAACCCAAAAATTATACCACAAATTCTAAATTACAAACCCCTCATATATTAATAAAATAAGTTAGAATGATTAAAATATAAGTAATTTGAAAGTTAAGTGATTAGATTAAAAGAAATAAACTTTACTGACTAAAATGGAACTAAGAAGATAGTTGAGTAATGAATGATGTAATTTACCCATTAAAAATGTCAAGTAAAACAGTTTCATTAAATTTTTAATGGCAGAGTAACAAAATAAACTTAAACTAAACATTAGATATGATTTTGAAAAAAATAGTTTAGATACCAAAATAGAACAAAAATAATAGTGTAGGTACTAAACATGTAGGTTACCCATAGATTTTATCACTTCTAGCAGACAGATATTTTTAAGGATTTAAATTTTGAAAGGAAAAGAAATGTTAGTATTAGGTTAGAAAAGGAAAATGGAGAAGTGAAAGTGGGGGCAAACTTTCGGTCGAATCGCGTGATAACAATGACGTTTCTTGTTGTTTAGGTAAAACCTCACAACTCTCTCTGCTTGTAAACTTTGTCACCTTTTCTAAATGTTCATCCTCCTTTAATGCCATATTAAATGGCTCCTTTACAAAAAAACAAAAGAGTCCTATTGAAAAAAATTATTTACTTCAAAGTTAAACCTGAAACAACTAAATTGATCATTTTTTATACTCGAAGGACTAATTTGATAAAGCTAATAGTACAAAGACGAACCAGACCGCTTAACATTTGGAGGGAAAGATTTAGTTTTACCACGCGTGTTTGCTATCTTTTGATTAAACAAAATGACAATTAAAAGGCTAAATTTTCGACCACTGTAAAATCTTACCAGGCATGGAAAAGGTAGAAAGTTTATGCATAACTTTCAACTGTTTTGAATCGGAACAAAAAGGGTTAGTTGTATTAACACTTGAGAACATGTCTTAACAATGCCTACAAAGGACGGTTATTACTTTAAGAAATCTAAAGTAAAAACAAGGGAAAGCATTGTTAGCCCTTTCAGACAATGGTGAACTGGAAACACATGAAGGAATTTTAGCTCAAACAGAGGCCAAAGGGACACGGAGGATGGTGAAAAACCAGATTGTCCCTGACCAGGTCCCCCCTTCAAGTTGCCTTTGCATAACAAGGTGTTACAGGATTGGTCATGGACCATGGTTATCTACCATTTTTTGCTCTTTCTGGAAACGTTTTAAACTAATAAAATGGTAGATGAAAAGAATAAATTACAAAAAAAAAACTCATCTAGCAGACCAAGATTCAGGAATCTAACGCATACTGTCTGTCTTGTCTGGTGTTCTGAATGTTGTTGGAGAAGAAGGCAATGGCAGTACCTGAGAAGAACTTGAAGGGTACTGCGGTAAACATTGGAGAGGTTCCATGTTCTTATCGACAATGAATTTTAAGAAAGACCCTTGTATGTTCTCACCTTGAAGAGGACCTCCATTTCTATGTACCTTTTTCTCGGCTTCAATCATCAATCTTCTCAAGAGTTTCTCTTCTGCGTCTCTTAAGAACTTGAACTTTGGAGGAGGTGAAGATCTCAGCTTGTTTAGCTCGGCATCTGTTGATGATTCAAAGAGAGGGTTGAATCCCTGGCGGTGATAAGAACCTAAAGGGTTCGAAGGAGGTGATTTCGATGGAGGAGGAGAAGCCATTGGAGTGTCGATGGCTAAAATAAGATCACTCAAGCTCCTTGTTCTTGAACCCCTTCTGCTTTTATCACCTCTAGACCTGCCATCTTCCGAGTCAAGATCTTCCTTGGTTTCCTCCTTGATTGTGAAGAGGAATCTAGGTGGACCGGCCAGATTGTGAAGCCTCATGAGTTCTGATTCAATACCCTCTTCGCCATAGCCCTTCAGCAGCAAATCCTTGCCTGACCCGAGTTCCAAATCTGGCTCAACAACGCCATTAATGCCTTGGTCTTTGACCAAATCTTGAATGTTGCTGTTGTTGTTGGTATTAGTGGATGCATGCAAAGAAGCAGATTTCTTCCAGCAGAACAGTTGAATGAGCTCCTTTGCATATTTGGTGTAATCATCTTCAACTTGTGAGCTGCCAATTAATCTCTTCTTCCACCAAAGCAAGTAGTAAAGCTCAGCAACGAGAGCTAATAAAAGACAACCAAAAACCAAGCTTAAACCAATCCCTAATCCACTGAAAGATGTCATCTTTTGGTTGAAACTCGCATCACGGGTACATAAAATCTTGGGTTTTGTTTGAAATTCAGTACCAAAAGTGAAAAAAAGGTTTGTCAGATTAAAAAAAAGACCTTTAAATCACAAAACCCATATTTCTAAAGGAAACTACGATGAAATAAAGAAAGCATGGATAAGCTTCACTTTTACTGCAATTCACAAGCAAAGATTCCTTGTGGTGAAGAATAAAGGGGGCAATGTATAAATTTGCCTAAAATACACGCCACAAGGAATCTGAGGAAAAAGCTTACTGCAAATAAAAACTTACCTTATAAGTCCAAATCTCAAAGCAACAAAGGAACATCACAAAAGTTGTTTAGGCTTACTGCTAATGGAAACAAAACAAAAAATAAAAGCGAAATTATATTTTGTGGAAATTGAAAAACGAAGACAGATTGAATTGTCAAAACAAAGAGTATTGAAAAGAGAGCAAAGAAAAGTAAAATATGTGATTGGGGGTCTGGGCAAATCTGTGTTGTGGAGTTAGTGAAAATGGCAAATGCTTGGAGAATGCAGCTCACACGGGAAGTAAGTTATTAAAACGAATAGAAGGGTCAAATTATAGTTTTGGTCCCTCTGTAATACTCGGATTACAGATTTATTTATTTTTACGTTAACTTCACACAATTTAATCACTATACTTTTATGAGATCTTTGGGTTTTGATGGGAATATAGCTTTGGGTTTTGATGGGAAGATGTGAACTAAAGACATTGAGCCTCATTAAGAGAATCTACTGTTAATTGTTTTTTCTGTCGACTTTTCCTTTGTTTTTACGCAAATTTATACCTTGAATTCATATTTTATTTGACTACATTCATTTAATGTCTAACGGCTGAAACTGACTTTCTTTAGTCCTGCCTTTTTTCACTATTTACCATTTAGTACTTATTTATTCTCTTTTTAATATTATTGATAATCATCACTACATCTGTTCAAAATTTAATAAAGGTCTCGGTCTCTCTTCCGTGCTGGTGGCCGAGCTGTGGGGAGTATGCAAAGGTCTCAAACTGACATGGACAAATGGTTTCCAACGTGTAATACTGCAGATGCATAACAATGAGATTCTCAAGCTTCTCTCACCACTAGATGCCACCAGCCCATTCTCTCAAGTGAGAGTCATTGTCGAACTTTACAAGAGATCTTGGTATGTAGAGTTCCAACTGATACATAGGAAAGCAAATGAAGCAGCAGATTATATGATCAAAAATGATCCTAGTGAAGATGATTCTTTAGTTATTTTGGCTCTCTAAAATTAAGATTTTTCGAGTTCTTCGAAGAGATATCCATGATCCGTTTTTCTTACGGATAAAAGGTTAATCTATTGGTCTATGGTTTAAGCTTTTGCTTTTTCATTCCAAAAAAAAAATCTACCTTATCGGAACCCAACCGAAGTCGGGAACTTGACGGATAGATCCACCAGTGTGACCCGTTGTTTAGGATTTAAGACCCACCCCCACCCCCACCCGAAAGAGTATTGAACTTGACCGCATTGATGCCGAACCGAAATTATAAACATGGGCCATATGGGTCGGAGATCAGAGTGCATAAGGGACCATTGCCAACAACATCGAAAACTGATGGATCAATGAGAAAACTGTAAGGTCTAATCATTTAAGTAAGCTCTGAATACGACTGGTTGGCTAAGCATCAAAATTTTACTCTTTTATGGGGCGAATACGGCAAAAGTGCAAGCCTTAAAGGGCCCCTGGGTTTGGTACACCAAGTACCGAGGCATTTAAAAAAACTGTGAAACGGTAATGATTTTGAAAGCATCTTTTATAGGATTAGTTCGCAGAATTAATTTGCAAGTCATATGGAGTAATAATAATATCATATTCCCTTTGAATAAGGTAAAGTGACGGATGGTGTTTCCATCTGGGTTTCCTTCCATTGTTATTAATAGCGTGGTCGAAGCAGCAATGATTATTTGCTAGTTGTAAAACGATGGTTGGTGTTTAGCTATTGTTAGTAATGGCAGGCCTAAGATGGTTCAAAGTGACCCAAGCATGCCACACTGCCCTATTGGATTCAAATCATTTAGATTTAATGGTCGATTTTTTCTGATTAATTTCGTTGAGTTAATAGTTCAAGTCATTATGGATAAATCTTAGTATGGTTTGAGTTTGTTTGAAGTTAGATTAAATTAATTCATGTTATTAGTTTTTTTAATTTCTATAATTATATTAAATTAATTTAATTATAAATTAATCGAATCTAATTTCCAAATTTAAATTGGAATTGATATATATTTTAGGGTAAAATACACAAATAGTCCCCTGATTATAAGATATTATGCTGTTGACTCTTTCATTATAAAAGGTTGCAAAATAACCCCTCGACTATAGGGAGTTTATTTGTTAATTCTCTCGACTATTAAAAGTTATAAAATGGTCATCTGACTATTTATTATATACCAAACTCGTACTTTTTCGTTAAAAAAATAACGACAGTCTAAGTTGGACATTAACATGTTAATTAAGGTATGATAAAATCTGATCTCATAAACTCAAATGACTATCGTTTCTCAATCAGTATGTTAATCTCCAGTTCAGACGACTGTTAATTTTAATAAAAAAAATGATGAGTTTAGAATATCGTGAATAGTCATGTAACCATTTTGTTGTTCTTAATAGTCGAAATATTTAAAAAAATAACTCTTTATAATCAGAGAACTATTTTATAACTTTTAATATGTAAAATACTTAACAAAACAATATCTTATAATAAATATCATTGATCATATTTTTTAAGATAAACTAAATGAACAATCATTAAAGTTTAAATAAGATTCTATTTTCGCCACTTACTTTGAAACACAATCTCTCTCTTAGAGAATCTTGCTTTGTCATTGGTTTTTTGTCCAGTTGTCTTATCCTGAGTAAGACATTCAAGATTTCATTGGCGTCAATGTGGAAGCATACATTGGTTAGAGAACACCAGGAGGAGCCGGAGGAATACCAGAAAGCTCAAGCTTTTATTAGCATTACTCTATGACATGAAATGCAACCACAATTAAAAACATTTTAATTTATTTATTTTTCTAGAACCCAATTTGAGTATTCCTTCAGAAAACGTCTAAAGCAGTCCACTTAGAAGATAGAAGGTAACCAAATTCAAACCCGATATATTCCATTTTTTATTCCTAAATATAATGGGCATAATGACTTGGAATAACCTTAATATTAGGATAATTCATTTATCCAAAAAAAAATATTAGGATAATTCAGAAAAGAAAAACAGTCTCTGCGATAACCTCATCTCATCTCAATTTCTCCCCCACTCATGATTCTCTGAAGAAAACTCAACTTTTTCCGTCAAAAAAAAAATCTTTCATCAAGCAAAATCCATGGCGAGAACTCTAATTTCATCACATCCGTTCATCGGCACTCCACTTCCATCATCAAAAATCTTTCGCCGCGGTGGCCTCTATGCGCTCCCTAACTGTAGACTTGCCTCTTCCAGAATCCGTCTAAGCTTCAACGAAATCCCTCCGATTACTTCACTTGACTCTTCCGTCGATTTCCAAGCACTTTTTACCAAAGCCGAGAGCCTCCTATACACTCTCGCCGACGCTGCGGTTGCGGCGGATCCAGCCGCCACCGCCTCAGGGTCTACTGACGCTGCCGCGCAGAAAAATGGTGGTTGGTTCGGCTTCATCGCTGAATCAATGGAATTTGTGCTCAAGGTAAAGCTTCTCTCCCGAGTCCTTGTGTAAACACGTATTCCACATATGAAAAACTGATTACTGATTAATTATCTAACTAAATATTTCTGATTTATGTTTTTTTCTTCTTATTTTTTGTTTAGGTGTTGAAAGACGGATTATCGGCATTACACGTGCCTTACGCGTATGGATTTGCGATTATATTACTTACGGTTATAGTTAAGATTGCTACATTTCCTTTGACAAAGCAGCAGGTTTGCCTTTGGTTCAACTTGTTTAGGAAAAGAAAGTGCTTAAAATTTAGATGTGATTTATTATTATTTTCAACTCGAAACATAACAGTTGACGATGGTTTTTAGGTGGAATCAACGCTAGCTATGCAAAATCTTCAACCAAAAATAAAAGCTATCCAACAAAGATATGCTGGAAATCAGGTAATACTGAAGTTTGAATTTGATTACTTCCTTTTTGATTGATTGGAAAGGTTCATTTTTCCCTTCATTTGGTTCTATTTAGGAGAGAATACAACTCGAAACTTCTCGCTTGTATAGGCAGGCTGGCGTTAATCCTTTGGCAGGTATCCTTTTGATTATTCACTTGAAATTCTATTTTTTTCATATTTAATTAAATTTAGCTTCTTTTGAAAGCTGTTTTTTTGCCTTTGTTGGTATCTTGGGTTATAAAAACTGGTGATAGAGATGGTTGTATGGCAATTGACTTGAACAGTTGAACTTAAACGTTAGCATTGTTAATTATTTTATAAAAGAGAGTGAATAATGAATTTATGATGCAATGGTTCATAGGAAAATGCTCATCAGTATCTTAAAACTTTGTCTTTGCAGGTTGCTTCCCTACTTTAGCCACTATTCCAGTCTGGATAGGCCTGTATCAAGCTCTTTCAAATGTGGCAAATGAGGTAATAAAGTGGTTGACGTAGCATTCCGATTTCTGAGTGATGTTGGAGAACTCTTTCACATGTTGGACAACTCTTTCACATGTTGAATAACTTTCATTACTGATTGCTGAAAATTTTACTCAAAGGGATTGTTGACAGAAGGTTTCTTTTGGATCCCTTCTTTGGGTGGGCCAACTACAATTGCTGCTCGACAAAGTGGATCTGGAATTTCTTGGCTTATTCCATTTGTGGTAATAAACTTACTCCCAAACTTAGGACAATTCTCTTTGTTATTTTCAACGTTTTGGAATTCCTTGCTTATTTGTTTGTATCTTATACTTGTCTGTGACAACTCTATTTTATTTTATATCCTTTTTTTTAATGCTACAGAGGTGTTAGAGAGACTGATTGTTGTTACTTATTTAATTATTTTAATCTGTTTGGAATTCCTTGATTTTACCTTTATAATTACCCTAAGAATTTGTAGCATATTTACCTTTGGTTTCCATGAATGAAAAAAAATGAGACTATAATTAAAGTGTGACTATAATAGCTACTAAAAAATTTGACTATAATATCTACTAAATTTGTGTGAAGCTAGGCTTAACTACTTTTTACAGCTGAGATTAGATTAAGAATAGAAAATTAAAGTTTTGAGATGTAGCTTCTGTGACCAGGCGCTGAAACCACGTTCTTCCTTTGGTTCATACATCTAATTTTGTTCTCTAACATACGAGGGGCAATAATCATTTAGGATGGCCATCCACCATTGGGTTGGCATGACACTGCTGCATACCTTGTTTTGCCCTTGCTTCTTGTTGCCAGTCAATATGTTTCAATGGAGCTGATGAAGCCTCCCCAGGTAAGAAGAACGGGCTTCATTACTTCCATTTCTTTCCTATTTGACATATTAATTTAGTTAGAAGTTTAAACCTCTCAATTTTTTTTGGACAGACGGATCCAGC